AAAGCTGTGGGACGATGCATTCTCTCCTAAAAGTACCTAAAGAAGTGAAATGAGTTCGTTGCATCCCTTTTCCCCCCTAGTGCTACGTCTTGGAAACAACCTGGCACCTGTTTCAAATATTAAGTATAAAAATGTACCTGCCTCTATTAAAGAATTATCATTATTTACTACCTTTATCCAACAGCATAGGATGAGCATGTCTACCCAAATTCAGTGCAGAGCAGTTAGGCAAGTTAAATAAAACCAGTTGAAGATTAGTATGTTCATATAAAATCATCTATTATTGGTTGATCAGGCCAATGAATGTCTAGCACAAGCAGTTCTTTAATAATCAATGACTGGGTCACACAGTGTTGGTTGTTCACCAGGGGATATCCAGTTTATTTACACATTTAACTGATTTAAAGGTGTTGGGGATATTCAATAAGACAGGTAGGGCATCAACTTTCATTTACTTGTAGTCTTGAGGAGAAGGTAAAGACTAAAGAAATCAGTGTGCAGTGAGTTAAGAAAGGAAAAGGCTGCATACCATGAAAGGGTCCAGAATACTACCTGTGCCATAAAAGATATTTTGAGCAGAGACATTTTATTTCCTGAAATTGCTTATCTGCCTAAAAGCAGAGCCTCCCAAAAGAGCTCAATTGTCATAAATCCCCTCCCTAGAGGGTTAGAACCAGGGAAGACTGACTCTTACCAGTGGAAACTAGGAATCAGTGCCACACCTAAACAGACATTGTCACAAAACTATCATCTCTTCCATCTATTCTCATTAGAGCTCATTTATCTTTCCTAAAAGTCCTTTGTTTTCCTATAAGCACCTTTCCCTCTGTTTAATGGCATATAAGTCCCAGGTTCTAACTGTCTTCTCGAGTTACATTTTTCTGTGAACTCCCTTAGGTGTGTGACTAAATCTGTCATTTCTCTTGGTTATCTGTCTTTTGTCAGTTTAATTTGCAGGCCCCAGGAACTAAACCTAGGAGAGAGTAGAGGAAAAGTTTTTCCTTCCCAACAGCCATGAAGTGTTACAGCAAAAAAAAAATATGATTTTGGAGTCAGGTAGGTCATTTCTAAGAATGAGATGAGTAGACTTTAGCCAGACTAATGGAGAAGGGAGAGAATATTACAGATGGAAGGAACAGTGTGTGTGAAGAGAGATGCTAAAACATTGGAGAGAGAGAAAACTCTACATTGAAACTCAGACTATTGGAGAAGGGCAAAGAGGTAAAAAGTAGCCAGATCTGGAGGACCTTATATGCCACATAAAGATCAAGAGTTCACTTTAAGTAGGGGAGTGATTACTTTGGCTGCTTTGAGTAGAAAGGAATGGAAGAGGCAAAAGGAGATGTAGAGAGACTAGTTAACAGGCTGTGATATAGGGGAAGCAAGCTGGGATGACAGAGCAAGAAAGAATATGAGAAGGCCTGAGATTAAGAGAGATTAGGAGATAAAATTATTAAGATTTGATGACTCATCGAATGTGGAAAATCAGAAAAAAGAGTCAGATGACTTTTGAGTTTTTTGAAAGACTATCAAATGAGGTAGTACCATATCCTAAGATGAGGAACAAAGGATGAGAATTTTTTTGTTGGGAAGAGGGTTGAGTTAATGTGTTTAATTAATGAATATAGAGTTTGAGGAGCCTATGAAACATAAAAATTGAGATGTCTAGAAAGCTGTTGGTTATATGAGTTAAAAATACAGGGAGAGCAGACTGAGATTTTGGGAGTTCTTGGCAATTATTAAGACCATAGGATTGAATGGTTCCAATTAAAGTACCCGTTGGGCATTCTCGATGTGACAAGATGTGAATTATTCAGTAGATAAGATTAGGTAAGTGTATTGGAGATGGTGGGGAGTGGAAATAGTGTGCATTGTTAGGTGAGAGAGTGTTATGGACTGAGCGAGTCCCCTCAAAATTCATATGTTGAAGCCCTAAGTGTGACTGTATTTGGAGATGTGACTTCTAAGGAAGTAATTAAATTACATAATAAAGGTGGGACCCCAATCCGGTAGGATTAGTGTCCTTATAAGAAAAGAGACCAGAGAGCTTGTTCTCTCTTTCCTCAGAAGAAAGGTCGTTTGAGGACAAAGAGGCTGACTCCAAGCCAGAAAGAGAGCTTTCACCAAGAACCGAAACACCTGGTACCTTGGTCTTTGACTTCCCAGACTCCAGAACTGTGAGAAGTAAGTTTCTGTTGTTTATGTCACTGAAACTTAAACCTGTGGTATTTTGTTGTGGCAGCCTGTGCAGACAAACACAGAGAGTAGGTGGAGAAGATAACTAGCATTTATTTGTCACTTGTCATTTGCTAGGTAGTGAGCCAGGTGATTCACATTTGTGATCAGCAGAATAATTACCCCCAAAGATGTCTGCATCCTAATTCCTGGAACCTGTGAATATGTTACATTGCATGGCCAAGGAAAATTAAGGTTGCTAATTAGCTGACCTTAAAATGGGGATATTATCCTGAATTATCTGGATGAGCTCTATGTAATTACAAGGGTCTTTCAGAGTGTGTGATAAGAGAACTCAATGAGGTGTTGATGGCTTTGAAGATGGAGGAAGGGGGCTATGAGCCAAGAAAAGCAGATATCCTCTAGAACTGAAAAAGGAAATAAATTCTCCCCCGGGACCTCCAGAAAGGAATACCCTGTCAACACCAGTGAGGTCCCTTGTCAAAATGTCTATGCTACGTAATTGTAAGGTAGTAAATTTGTGTTAGTTAAGACTCTGAGTTTCTGGTAATTTATTGTGGCAGCAATAGGAAAGTAATGATGTTTGCTATTCACACAATCCTTATATTAACCCCAGAAAAAGAGGTAGTGTTATTCCTGTTTTCCAATAAATTACTTTATTTCTTTTCATCTCGTTTGTCGATCCTAAGTGAATCTTAGTTATAAATTTAAAATTACTAATTTTCCCTGACATCTTCAGTGTGAAGTAGTATGGTATTGATTGAAGCTGTTACTTTAGGCGTACACTTAGAACAAATATCATTGTAGTAAAAATCTGCACAAAAGAGAGATTTTAAAGGAAAGACCAGAAAGATACTGGTCAAAAGAAATCATTTGTTAATTGGGGTTTTTTGTCTGTTTGTTTGTTTTTCCTTTGTTGGTTGGAACCACAAGAATTCTTGGGTTACCTAATGCCAGGAAACAAAAATGAGTGATTGGTTCATTATAATTGCCATTGTTTCTCTTACTGATACTCTGCCAGGTGCTGCGTTCTGAATAAGCTAAACAATGTCTCTCTCAAATGTCCTCTCCACTAATCATTTGGTTTCAAACCCACAGTATTTGATATCTAACTTTGGAGGCATCCATCTTTGGAAGATAGAATCTGCTATAAGTGTCATATATATATGTAATATCTAATGTATATAGTATATCTAATGTTTGTGCTAAAGAGAAAAATTATTCATTTAAGCCTTGTATTCCTCTGGATTTCTGGAAGGTTTTACTTTTTTATTATCTCAAATTGATCTGTCTTCCTATATGCCAATTTTGTCAGTTCCTACTACCGGCTGTCCTTTATTTCTATTACAATTTTAATTTATTATTAGTTTCAATTATATAGTACATTGGTTAGCCATTTATATAGTTTATGAAATGATCCCCCTGATTACTCTTTCTCTCCTCTAGCTCTACACCTAGCCATTACATTACTGCTGACTGTATTCCCTATGCCGTGCTACCCATCCCCAACCATCTATTAACTATTAATTTGTATTTCTTTAACGGTTCACCCATTTATTCCAGTCCCCCAACCCTCTCCCCTCTAGCTGTCACCAGATTGTATATTTGTGAGTCCCACCAGCTTTTCTTACCTTGCTTGCTTTTCTGGTATCTTTTAAATGAATCAGGGTTTTTCCTGATCTTTATCATAAAATTGATGAGCACTGAGGTCTCTTGATCCAAGAATACCAAACCTTTCCTCTTACCCAAATTTATCAAGGGTATTCTTCTTGAATGAAGAGAATTATGGAACCAATGTAGGTTTTCATATAACATAGAAGGAGCTGAAGATTTATAGCCTTCATTTGGTATATTAGAATGTAAAAGGTTTTAGAGATAATCTGCCTGGGCTCACCTCATCCCTAATCTTTGTAAAATCTACTCTAGAATAAACTGAGTCCTGAAGAGTTTAAGTGTGGTTCAAAGTGGTAGAGTCAGAATTAGAATCAGAGATTAAAATTAAGCCTTATGATTCCTAGCCCACTGTTCTTTCTACTGTATAACTAAAAATAGTTACATACTAGGAAAAGGTTATAGATTGTGGATATATCAGTTAAAGTCCTTATAGAACATAGATGGCAAATTTAAAAGAAAATAATTCAGGAGCATTTATATAGCTATATGCTTATTAAAACTATGCACACAGGTACAAATGCAAAGAGACTATAAAAGTTTTCAGTAAACTGGATTTAGAAGCAGCAGAGATGTTATCATCTCTAGGCCCAAATGGATGAAGGGAGCATGTACTGGCATCCTGAAAGAAAGCTGCATAGAATTAGCTGCCTACGGGAAGCAGCAACCATTGGTAAAGGGGTAAATGCAGTTTAAGGTGATTTTTCTAGAAAAGAGAGTAATAAATACCCTGAACTCACTCTCCTCATTCTCTCTGATCTCTTCCAGGAAGTTCATATTGGTTAAAACCAATGGGAACTAGGGGACATTTGCTTCTGTCTGTTGATGTAGTTGGTGCAAGTCAGTCTCTTGGTGCAGAGTAGGTGGAAAAGAGTTGAAAGATCTGCAGGAGAAAAGATAACCAACTCTCTGATCCAGATACTTTTAGTTGCAATGAATTGTAAATATCCCACTAAGAGGCAGAGATCAATCAGAGAATTTCTTGTTCCTTATTCTCTATCGAATGCAAATATGGAATGCTTCCAGCCTCTTGTTTGAATTTAATTGACCAAACATTCAATGGCTCTGGATGGCATTGCTTTCTTTGTGATTTGGGGCATTGTACAGTTAGGAATGGAAGTGGAGGTGTCCTCACCTTTCAGCTAAGTTCTGAAAGTGTGACAGACTTGTCTTCCTTTCATTATTCCCTCTCAGAGTAGGTTGTTGATGATGTCTTATTGTAATTTTCTCATTTCACTCAAAATACTGAATGGGAAATTTCTTTTTATTCTCTAATAGAAGCAGAAAAAGCAAACAAAAGATACCATTAACAGGAAATTTGCAGATATTACACAGCCTCCTTTTTAGTTACAGTAGATATCCTGTTTTGGGGAAAAGAGCATATAGATTAGGTATAACACAGAGTGACCATATAACTTACTATTCAAACTGCGACACTTTTAATAATGTAACGGGATACAATTATTATGCCAGGAAGACAATTGTAAACTGAGACTATCCCAGACAAGCCAGACATTTTGTCATTCTATTGTGCCACTCTGTAAACTCTGTTTCTAAGGAAAAGGAAAAAAAAAAATGTTACCTGAGGTCAGAGGATTCAAGAAACCATGTTAAAGACCTTCTTGAGTGTTTTCCATACATACTTTCCCTTGAAAACTACACAATCTCATTAAATTAGTGGATTTTTATCTGCCCAATTTAAGCACACAGTCTTGGAATTTAGGAAAAAATATTACGGATGAGTGCTAAGAAAAAAAATTTTAATCAAAATAATTTTTAATATAAATTTTTAAAAAGATAATGAAAATACAAGATTTTAAGGCTTCTGTTAGCATGATAATATGTATCTTTACTATTGCAACCAGGTGACCATGGATTTGTCTAAACCCTATGACCCTGACATTTTAAAGTTTCTGGGAGTTGTATTTCTGCAAAGCAGTAGAGACTAAAATATACTTCTGAAGCATTTTTTCCCCTTTTTCCTGGAAAAATTCCTCAGTGGGACTATGCTTATGTAAAAGTACAGCGACGATTATCTTCTGTAGTAAAGTATTTTAAGACAATGTGGCTCTAGGAATCTAAATTCTTCTATATAATATTGCAAAAGATTATCATTATGGTCACTTTATATTTGAATTTTGACTGTCCAATGCCAGCAAATTACTGCTTAATCTTGAGAATAATACGTGTTTTTGTATATGTGAATGAGTATGTATTCCTTATGCATTTGAAGTTGAGATCTCAAGACTGTAGGAAAGATATACAAGTATGATTTTCTTTGTATCTTAAGCTGGAGAAGAAATGGTGTAAACAAATCGACCTAGGTTTAGAGCAGTATACATTAAGTACACTCTTAACATCATGGATAGGTTCTTGGAACTGCAGCAACTGTAACCAAACAGGTGACCAGCTTCTTGTCAACATCTTGAGAAAGAATTCATGGATAAACAACGAAGGAAACAAAGCAACAGCTCAAGTTTATTGAAAGCAAAAGTACACTCTTAAAAGTGAAAGTACACTCAGGAGAAGGGGCAAGCTCAGAGGGAGCTCCCCGCCTTTTAATGGGTTGGGGTGAGTATATCTGTTGATCTAATGAAAGAGTAGAATATTCATGATCTTGGGTTTTCTCTTTATAGAAAGAAGGTGGTTTCTTTTGGAATCAGGGAGATACTGCTTTTCTTGCCATGTTTGGTGTTTACGGAACTGTCATGGCATCAGATGCATAATGGGTACGGTACTAACCACAATGTTAATTTATTATAATAGCTGTATAATGAGGGAGGAACTAGGCCAGAAATGAATGGGCCTGATCTGTGCATGTGCCTTAGTGGCAAAGACCACCTGTGTCTCTGGGTCAGGATGTTGTGGGCTTTGAGCTTCTTCTAATTGTTCTTTCTGTGATAATATCTGTACTTGTCCAGTCTTTCCTCCCTGACAACAGATAGTGATTTTGAAATCAGATATATCACTCCTTTGCTCATTTAGAATAAGATTTTTGCATACCTGATGCAAGACACTAATGATCTGTCTCTCCCTGCCCTTATCTATTTGTCTTTATCTCCCACCACTTTTTTTCCTCTCAGTTATCGCATTCACATTGACCTCCCTGATGGTTTCACAGAATACAAAAGGCACACTCTCACTTCTGGAACCTTGCTGTTCCCTTTTCTGGGACTGTGATTTCCCAGATAATCACACAGCATGTTCCTCTCTTTATTTGAATCTCCGATAAAATGTTACCTTATCAGTGAAGCCTTTCCTGACTCAAGTATTTGAAAAAGCACTGTTTCCATCGTTGTTGCTTGATTATAAATTTTCTTCTTAACATTTTTATTACCTCTGGTACCTATTTCCTGTCAATACACTTAGCATTAGCTACTGTATACATTATACATTTATATACACACATGTGTGTATATGTATATATAAATGTGTAGTAAAGGTCTGGCCGTTGCCTTTCTGAGGAAGTAATCTCTAAGCCCTTAGAACGTCATGCCTGATAGGAGTGACTTTGACTGTCTGGGGGCCTCGGACTAGCCAGACTGATTTAGAGTAGAGGCTTTGAGTCTTCTTATATTAGTTAGACTTCCCGATGAGCAGGAAACTGAGATCAGTCATGTAAGTGGACAACCAGGCATGCCCCTTACTCCTACTATGATGGAGCCCCAATTAAGATTCTGGACACTGAGATTCAGATGAGCTTTTTTTGTCTGCAATACTCTCTATGTAGTAGGCATTCACTAAATATTATAATATATAAATTACTGAAAGGAGCTAAATAATATAAAAAATTAAGAGACAATCTTTATGAAATTTAACACAACAGAACCATGGGGAGAAAAGCTTCCAAATAATGCATAACTGGTTCTCTTTTTTTATTATATTCTGAGTAATACTGTAATGTCAGAATGGTTGCCTTTGTCAGTTACAACTCTCGCAAGTCTCTGGGATTACATATTATGTGTTTTTATTATTAGGGAGGTTTAGGGGTTACGTCTTTTCAATTTATAAGAGTCACCACCAGATGGTGATATTTTTATTAGGTAACAAGTTTTTGTCTTCAAATACATAATTTATAGAGAAAAGAGGTAAACTGTATGAAATAAAATATTTATTAATAATAAGAATAATGTAACAATGCAAGGGTAAAATATTTAAATATAGCACAAGATATCCATAAGTGTATTATACTGGAAACACATTTTTACAATCACAGTCACATTAAAAAGTAAGGAAACTTCATACTGGTGTAGCCTAAACTTCTTTTCTCTTACAAGGCTTAGAAGGAGGAACCATTCATGTTTAGGCACAGCTTCTGTGAAGGTTTCTTGTAGATTCATCTACTGTTGGTTTGGAATTTGAAGAGTTACAGGTTAGTAATATGATTCTGATTGGCCTTTTAAACTGTGGCTTTGGGCTAAATTATCCTGGTATTGTGTCAGTACGACCTGGTATTGTGTCAATACGGCAGACCTTTTAAGTGTATCCATTGTATAGTTAATTCAACAACCAAAGGCGATGAAATGGGAACATCCTATTTTTTTTCAGTTGCCCCAGCATTACCCCAAAATGGGGGCGGGGGTGGGGACTGGAACACAGGAGGGAACAGGGGTGTTACTGTCTTCCAATCTGATTCTTGTGTTCTATAAATCTTGATTTTCATTAATCTTGAAGTATATACCTTACAATCATTTAATAAAATATATCGAATTGTTTCTTTTCTTAAGATACACATATCTTTGGAAAAGAAACTAAAAAGCACCTAAACTTGGAATAATATTTGAAATAAAATTTTCTATGCTTCAAGAATGGCTAAGAAAGTTTGCCAGATCTGCAGCTTTAGAAACTGACACTCTCATTTTGAACTTACAGGCTTTTCTTCTGCTTTACTCAGAAGTTTGTTACTCCAGTGGGCGCACCTCATAAACTTAGATCGGAAATATTTTCCCCAATTTCCATTTAAATAAACAAAACAATTTTTAAAATGATGATGTGTACATTTTCAACCTTTTCCAATAGTGTTTCAGTTAAGGACTACTTCTAATTCCGCTTATAACACACGGCATATTTGTTTAAAGAGCAATCTTGATATTCCGAAAAGATGAAAGGAAAACACTGTTATATTTAAGAAATAAGGAAAAGAAAACATTCAATAAACAATTTGTATTTTATAGAAATGAAGGCAACAGCTATTTACAGACTAGGAACATGCGTGGTTTGAAGTTGGAAGCTAATTTGCTGTTTTACACAAGAATATATTTCCTAGACATCAGTGTAAAGCTAAAGCTGTAACTGTAATGAGCTTGCTTTGCCAGCTACATTTTGGCAAGCCTGTTCAAATACAACTCAGAGTTTTGCTACATTTCTTCCATTTCCCAAATGTCTTGTTCCCCCATCAGTTTAAAGGCCAACATATGTGTAGAAACATGTACATGGAAACATTATACTTATTGAGTTTATACAATTTGTTGTTTACTCTGAGGTTGACAAACATAGGCAAAAAGCATTAGTAAACTAGACTAAGATTTGATTTAGAAAATATTTTTAGAAATTGGATAAGAAACAAATCTTTTAATTACCACAGTGTGTGATCTATAGCACTAGTTCCAGCTGTTTGCACTAGAAATAATTAACTAGTAAATCTGTAAAGCTTATGTAAATCAACAAATAAAGGAAATCAAATAGCCTCAGAACAGAGGTGTTAGTGTAGCAGTTTGAAGTTACAGATCCATTTTTGCCTTTATTAGACCAAATGATCACTAGGTACCCTTGCCTTCTTCCTCTCTTTTCCTGTAAGCTTTATTTAACAACTGAATTTCCTCCTGGTAGCCATCCCTCTCCTGATGCTGCCTTTTACTGTTCTGCCTGTGTGCTTCAACAGTGTCTGGAATTGAGATGTTAATATCACCATCAGGATTACTTGTGGGTAAAAAGAGAGAGTATGAGGCTGTTTCCCCTAAATCACATGAAACGAATCTGTTTTCTTTCCGTGAGTAGCGTAGGGATGGAGATCTGACCTGTGTGGAGGACTGGCTGATGTTGCTAATGATTGACACAGTGTCCAAGGCCTCTTCATTATCACAAATTTCAAGAACTTCCAAGTGTATTTTCACACTGGTGTCTGCAAATGTGGAGGGAGAATCTTCTGAGTTTGGTTCATGGCCAACACTTTTGGATCGGTAGACTTCTATTTTCTTAGAGGCTGGGGTTATTTTTTGTCCTTCTGTGCTTACCTCATAGGTAGAAAGAGATAGGGTTTTCCCTGTAGGGGCTTGAAGAGACACAGTCCCCTGAAATGCACACAAGGGAATCTCAAGGGCACCACCGGAACGCTGGGGACAAAAACAAAATGGTTATTATTGAAAACTAGTTTTTGAGATTAGGCCATTTAGAAAGTCATTTTAATCATCAAAATGATAACGTTTTTCTACTCCAGAGCTATTTCCCTGGAAACCTTTTACAATAAGGGATTTAAATTCTGCCATCAAAGTGCCGTTGTAGTTTAATTTCTTCTAGGTCAAATATATCATCTAAATGAAGGCAGTCAGGAACATTTTCTTGAATATATGAGACATATTTCCACCATTGATGGCAAAATTTGGGAATTGATGGGCAGCAGTAGATGTTTCCAAGAGTAGAATATAAGCATAAAATTGTATGCATATTTCTAGTAGACTTGCTTTTCTATTTTTGTTACGTATTCAGTTACATTAAGAAGTTTGCATAGGTTGAAAGAAATGCAGACTTTGTTATCAAAATGCACTTTTTTTTTTCCTGCTTAGTATGCCAGAGAGAATGATAATCGTGAAACTATGATTCAGGTTAAGTACAAAAAAATACTTCAACTGTGAGGTTCGAGCATATACAAGAGGAACTAAATGTCACTAAACTGTGCTACAGTGTGCTTTCCATGGAGAAACCACGGTCATCAAAGTAAACCTAGTAAGAGAAGTCCCCCATATCTCTGCAAACACCTGCCTCAAAATTTAGACCTTTTTTATTATATTTAAAACTTTGTGTATTACAGTTTTTTAATTGTTCTCACCACTGAGAACTACTTAAGAAATGAAGAAAATAAGACCACTTTTTATAATAGTCTGTACTTTATATTGTTGATTCATGCCTTCTTACTTTCAGTTGACTCCTTTTTTAATTACATGTTTGTCTCAGAATAAGATAGTAATATGCCAGTCTTCTAGAGCAGTGGTTCTCAAACGCAGGCCCCTCGACCAGCATCATTAGTGTCACCTTGTAACTTACAAGAAATGGGATTTTTGAGCTCTACCCAAGCCTACTGAATTAGAAACTCTGGGAGTGGGGTCCAGCATTCTGTATTTCAAACAAGACTTCCAGGTGATTCTGTTGCACAGTAAGGTTTGAGTTCCATTGCTGTAACTAAAGAAGTGGTTATTTTTAAAAGAAGAGGAGACTGATTAACAGACTCTTTTTATGCATATGCCTACCACCTGTAAAGCCTAGAGTTACTAACTGAATTGGCTTAAGAGTGTTTTTCTACCAGGGGAATCAGCATGAGGGCTCATGGTATTTTCCAACTTAGGATGATTAACCTTCCCAGTTTGCCTGTGACTGCTCCAGTTTTAGCATCAGAATTCCTGCATCCCAGGAAACCTCTCAGGCCCAGGGAAACCAGAATAGTTAGTCACCCTATTAGCCATGGGCATTTTGGATATTGACCTAGGTAGGAGTGTCTAGAGGAAACCCACGACCAGGGTCCCACTGTTGGGGAATGTTTGAATTCTCATCTACTTGGAGAAATTTTTAAGAAAGGATGCATCATAAACTTCATTTGGGGTACTGTCATGCCTAACTCCTTGAATTTAGGGACGACAAAAAATACAGTCTAGGATGCATGAAACATGTCACCAGGCTTTCCCAGTTATTCCCTATGGAGAAGTCTTGAACTCTGTTTATCCATTAGGGGACGTGGGAACCTAACTTTAAGGCCTAATACCCTAAAATACCATAAACTTTGAAAACTTACACTTTAAAGTTCAGATTACTCTTCTGCTGAGGCAAAGAACTTCATCAACCTCACACGTGTGATGTTGACTTAAGCAGGAGAGACAGAGGGACAACACAGGTTCATTACTGTACCAGAGCATTGTTTGAGTGATGGCAATTTTTGGCAAAGGAGAAGTGACTTTTATTTATTTTTTATTCATTCATTCATTAGAAATTTGCTGAGTACCTATTGCATGCAAGAGCCTGAGCTTACATTGGATGTACAGATATACTATATACTGTATATAAAATATATAAAAAATATAATATATGTAAGAAACACTATACTTGGTTCAAAGCTTCACAGATATTTGGGTGAGAAAAACGTGAAGAAACAAAATTAAAATTTCATCTCTCACTGTTATATAGAGATAGGAACCGAGTTCCATGGGGTTCAGAGAATGACCACCTCTGATAGAAAAGTTTCATATAGGAGTGGTATTTGAAATTGATCTTAAGGATCAAGATGTTAAGAACCAAGAATCAAGAAACCATTTACAGTTTTAAATTTACAATTTTAAAAGCCTTGCTTTCTGAGTAATAAGTCGTGAGTTAAAAGGCAAGCCTAAAAACATTACATCTGAGAAAATATTTCTTGTTATCAAAGTCAGAAACTTCTGTTTCTTTTTTAAATCAAATGGACTGAGACATTATGTAATCAAGTTTGACTGTCACTTAATAATGTGATTTATAAGTACAGCCTTTATTCTGAAATATAGTTAATCTGAATGCTGAACTTCCTTATATTATACTTTATTACAAGAAAAACAAATATACATCGGTACTTAAAAAACTGGTTTTGTTTTCTCTTTAATATGGTACACTGTATAAGCAAAGTCCTGTGGAATAGACTAGTTTAAAAAAGAAAAATGCGATGAGAAAACTGAATTATCAATGTCCATCACTATTGACATGTCAACTTTCAAGGAACCTTCACTAGAGCATCAACAGTGTAACATGAGTTTATGAACACCAACTAGCATCACCGATGAGCAGTTAATATAAAAGCAAATGTGTTAAAGAATATTTTTCATCTGGTTTTATACATCCACATAGTGCAGATTTCAATAACTCCCCCTTGCTAACCTTATCTTTAAATGAACAAACAAGCTTTACTTAGTTATCAAATGACAGCTCCTTAAAATTGGCATTTGAGAGTTGTATAGTGTGAGAGTTTAGCTAAGTATGAAGTTGGATTATTCTGAGATGACACACAACGTCTTGAGCTATCAAAATTATTTTGTCAAACATTCTTTTTATTTCATGCATATTTGTGGTAGCTGCATATATGTGCTAAAAGGTTTTATGTATACATACACATATATAATACATACATAAATATATATTAATTTCTCTGAAAGTGTTGAAACATTCTTATTAAAAAGGATGGTCTCCATTTGAGAATCGTAGAAGTAAAAACACAAAGACAGATTCTATAGAAAAAATCTGAGCATACATCTCTATACTAGTAATGGAAAATTAGCAAGTTAGTTTCAGCAAAACAGTACTTTCACTTTAGGCGAATTCAGTAGTTTTAATTTTACTGGTTACGAAAGTATTTAATGTATATGTTGTTTGGTTTTAGATTTGTGTAAGTACTATAAGTGTATGGAGTTTATATGAAATTTTGCTTGTATGTCTTTAAGCAAAATCATAACAATTTGATTTGACAATAAAGCTCAGAGAATTTTTTTCCTTTAGAGGGGCTTGTCTATTATTTAAGTTAGAGAAACATTGCTCTAGGTGGAAGAAAATAGGAGCTTGAACTAAGAGAGCAGTGATAGGGATAGAGACTCAAGGAGGGAGCTGACAGAATGAGTAAAATCAACAGACTTTTCCACCTCTTTTAGGATATGGAAGGTGGACTAAAATGGAGAGAGATTAGAAGCTATGAGAACAGATGGATTGAACCACTATTATGTACTAGGACTAGGTTAGCTGGTAGGTCTATAACACGAATGAAGAGTCTCTCATATTGTAAGAGATCATAGACTGTAGAAATACCAAAGCTCATAAACAATTGCATTTGCATGTGATTCATGTGTGCTACAGTAGGCCCGGGCTGGAGAACTGTGAGAATCTGGAATAAGAGCCCCTCACCTAGGTGGAGTGAGGCATAAGAGGATCTTTCCTGGAGCAAAGCTCAGTTTTTACAGAGGAGTAGAAATACCTGATAGTAATGCTAGTATTTAACATTGTTCTAGAGGTCTTAGCTGGACAAATATAAAGAAAAAGGAAAAGAAATATAAATAGTAAGAAGATTCAAAATTATCATAATTTACATATGAATTTGTCTACCTACAGATTATACAGAAGCAAATCTGAAATAGAAATAATTCAGGAGTTTAGTAAAGTAGCTGAATTCTAGGTAAATATTAAGGAATCAATAGCAGTTACCAATCAAAAAATATATTTTAAAAAGGTCTCATTCAAAATATCAACAAAACTAAAGATGTATGAGAGCTATATGAGAAAAACACTGTAATAAAAAAAAGGAATCCTGAATAAATAAGAGACAAAAAAGAGACAAGAAACAATATATCCACATGGGAAAATTGTGTATTGTAAATATGGCAGTTTTCTTTTACTTTATTGATTTAATATAATTTTAATAAAAATTCCAATGGAATACCATAGAATTTTATTTTGTAATTTGTAAAGTTCCTTCTATGATATATATTGCAAGAGTAAATGCTTGTGGATAAAGGAGAAAATTTAGAAACAGACTAATGTGGATTTACAAAGATAACATGAAGTTACAGTAATATAGGGTGTTAATGGCAAGATTCAATAAACTAAGCAGTCAAGAAACCAGATATATCACATCACAAAGATGACATATCAAAATAAAGATTCAATTGAGCTTTTACATGTTATTGGCTATCCATCACAAAATTAAATTAGACCCCTTTCATGTTATATGCAAAAATAATTTCTTGAGTCTTAATTCCGGGGGAAAGAAGACCTTTCCAAATCTGGAATGAAAGTAAAAAAATCAGTAAAAAGAATAAAATCTGTAAAAAAGTAAAAGATAGACATTTGACTGCAGGAAAATTTAAAATGTTGGTGTAGGAACATGTGCTAAAGGTAAAGGTAAAAGACAAATGGCAGCCGAAGAGAAAATATTTGTAGCACACATGAGACAAAAGTTAATAGTCGTAATATAGAGAGAGTTACTCTAAATCAGTGAGATGAACATCTAAGCAGAAAAATTGAAACAGAAAGTAGGCAAAAGCAATTAAAGGAAGAAATACAAATGGAATATAAACACATGAAAATATATTCAGTTTCATCGATAATCCAAAATAAG